ACCCAGAGGCGGATTAAATGTCGAGAGCGCTCTAGGCTAGCACCTAATAGGCGCCCCTCTGGCGGTCATATATTTTGCAAAATACTTTTTTTTATTAGGTACTTCCTTATTTTTTTTTAGGTTTAAAAACTTTTGAGCGCGCCCCTCTTTAACCTTAGGCATATGCCTACTTTGCCTTATGGATAATCCGCCACTGTTTGCGCCGTTTATAGGGACGCTCTAGAAAGTGCCATTTAGGTCTGTTCTACGAATGCGTTCAAGTACGTTGCTATTTTTATTGCACCAAATGCCCAAACTTTGAAGCGTTTCTTTACTGACGAAAAAAAATAAAATACCTGATTAAGGATATAAAAAAAGAATCTCAAACAAGTCCAAATGATATTAGAAAGAAATGTAACTAAAGTATTGCTGTTTTTGCATTTTTATAATAAGAATAGTATTAAATTAAAATAACTAATTAATTATAAAACATGGGGTATATAACAATATCTTATGTATATAATTAATGAAATAGAAATAATCATATATAACATAAGTGTTTGTACGTTATTCTTGTTATCCGGAAATGTGAAAATTGGCTCAAAATATAGAGAAATGGAGGTAGGTGTCCAACCAATCCAATCGACGTTATTAAAGTGTTTCGAATTCCTTTAAAAATTTAAGTAAAATTTAAATACAAATTATGCAAATGTAACGATTATTTTCGTAAATCTAACGATAAGTAAGTCAGTGTAGATTTAGTGAACTGTGTGCGCAAATGTGAAAATATATAGTCCTAAGCGGCATGAACTGTGCGACTGTCGATTTATCTTATTACCGCTGTACTCTATTGACCCATGCCTGAAGAGTTGCTAGGACCCTCAGAATTTTATTGACGCTATAAAACCTCAATTCACGTACGATTTACGATTTCAGATACTTATTGAAAAGGACTTCGCCTTTTAAACTGAGTAAATACAAGTCAGGAAAACAGATTTCAAGAAAATCTGGTTGACCTCTAGCATATCGACTAAGAAAACTCTTATGCAAAGTTGCGACTTAACCATGCAAGAAAATTGATTTTATTTAAAGCCATCTCTAATTCCTTCTTGCTAGGTGCTAATACTGCTATATCATCTGCAAATCTAAGCATACTAATCTTTCGCCCCTGTACATCTACCTCTAATGTTGTCCTCTCTTTAATGATGTTGATCGCATCCTCGATATGTAGATTCAAAAGTATCGGTAACAGTGTTCATCCTTGCCTGACTCGTTGCAGCCCCGGCTCTATAACTGTCTGTTGCTCTTTATACAAACTAAGTATCACTCTTCTATCTCTGAAGCTCATCCCTACATTTTTAAGTACATTTAACATCTTGTCCCATTTAACATTGTCAAAAGCTTTTTCTAAATCTACAAATCCTATGTACGCGCTCTTTCCTTTTTCTATCGTTTTCTCTATTGGTACCCGTAAAGCTGGAACGGCCTTCCACGTTCCTCTATTTCTTCTAAACCCAAATTGATCTTCCTCTAATTGTTCTTCCGCCCTTTTTTCCATCCTTTTCTGTACAATTTTAGTTAACATTCCTAATTGTAGGAAAAATTTGCATATACTGAAGTAATAAAGAAGTAATTTCTTTCATAGTAGGTTCCTAATTATAAAATGCAGCCGCTACAGCTTCTACGTACGCTTTTCGTTTTCTTATCGAAGGAATCTCTAGACGGATGTACACGCAATACATCGTGTGCATTCTAAAATCAAAGATAAGTTGAGCAGCCTCCAATTACTGTCTCTGCATTGACAAATTCCGTTGGAAACGCAGCGGCAGATCGCGTATGACATTAAAATTAATTCAACATCTGCAACAGCTTAAAAGTGCAGTCACGGAAAGGCATCAAATGTGAAATTCCGCGCCTGCTCCGGTGAAAAGCAAACAAACTGATCTGCATTTATAATTGAATTGCACCAGATGCATGCGGCAACGGGATGATGATGATAATGACACACATCCACGGGCTCACTGACTTGTAAAATGGAGTTGATGCCAATTTGATATTCAACTTTTGCTTCAATTGAAGGCTCGGCCGCTCTGGTTGTTATTACAGATGTTTACCGAATGCCATTTGGAAAACGGTTACTATGTTCATTTATACATATGAAAGAGGAGCAGCTCGCTCGAATCACTCAACTGTACTCCCCAGTATTCCCGTCAAAGAATTTCCGCGATAATGCGCCGCACACAGCAATTCGTTAGTTGCAACGAGGCAACAAGCCCTAACCGAAAACCCGACTGCAGTGAAACAGTTGCGGAATGTTCGGGCACTTTTCTTTCAAAGTTAACTTTGATCGTGATGTAAATCAAAATTTACTTTGGTTGTTTCAAGTTTGTTAGTAATCTAACGTTATGTTCCATGAAGTAAAACAGGTACGTTGCAATAAAAGAAGAAATAAAAATTGTTTTTCTTTCAGAGAAGCAAATGAAGTTATTAATGCAGAATATCTGGGCGCTCGGTTTTCTATATTACATACTTACATAGGTACCACGCAAAAAAAATTGATCATATTGCAGGATTCGAACTCGCGCGCTCCGGCATGGTAGACCTACGCTCTAGCCATTAGTCCATTTATAAAATTTGATATTTGTGAACAATTATACTGGCCGGGCAAGTCAACTACGTTGCTTTCGCAGAAATCAAACATAATTTAATCAATTTTTTGCCCCTGTAAACCACTATATTGTAAATTTTATCGAAATTATTGGAATCGTTTTCGAGAATGTGGAATATTACTCGTACTTGTATTACAGTATAGTTTACAATATTTCAAAAAAACTTAGATGAATATACAGCGCCCATACGATTAGCTGTACGAAATAAATACTGTCAATGCTCTTAGGATTCCGATTTCAAAACCAAATCGAATAGAACTTTCCTTTGAGACATTCCTTTCTATTAATTTATTCTCCTTCGCGAATGAATTAAAATTATTAAAGATCCTCAAGTCTAAATATAATTAATCAGTTACAGGAACATGCAACATGAAATTAATTTTAAGAAAATCGTAGGTACTCAATGGTGAAGAGAACATCCATGCGTTGGTCTGTCTGTACTTTTTATTTTATCGTTACAAAATTACGTAGTTGATCTTTCAATATGTATTCATTGAAAGACGATCGCTTTACAAAATAATAATTTCATTCTGTACTATAAGTTAAGTAAAAATACAAGTGTTTTTTAATTCCATGTCGTAAAAGTAAATTTCCTATTTATATTATAAACAGGAGATATTCAATTTGAAACAGCCTACTTCACTTTTTCTTTTAGGGTGATGGTTTGTAACATATGTATTTTTCTATAAGGTATAGCACCTATGTGTACATTGCGTACAACTTTCATCTCAAGATACATACGTTAAAACGAATTAATTCACGTTATTCGCTTTATAAATTGAATCACTTGCATGCTTCAAAAATTAAATTACTGGCTTGAGTTTGAATCGTGCTTTAATTAAAATTTCAAATGTTAACGCTGCGTCAGACCCTACACGGATTCATTATAGCCCAGTTGCAGCAAAATTTTAGGATAGCGGATTTGTGAATAGACGGGATGGTTGAAATGAGCAATTTTATTCATTTTCCAAGTGCATGCACTCCTTACATTTACACAGAGACGAGCATGCGTGAAATTTTCTTTGCTTTTACTAAAAGTGTTGCTAATTCAGATGAAACATATGCGAAAACACGTGTTTAAGTTTATCATCGCCGGCGCGAAGCAAACCGTTAAAGTATAGATTAAATTTTCCAACTTATACAATGAAATTATATTATAATAAAAAAAGTAGGGAAAGAGCGAATATAAAGATAGAGACAAAACATTAGAAGAAGTGGTTGATTTTTGGTATCTGGGAAGTCAGATAAGTCAGGAAGGAAGGAGTAGTAGGGAAATAAAGCAGAGGATAGCGCAAGGTCGGGTCGCCTTCAATAAATAGAAGTCACTTCACACGAAAAAGATTTTTAAAGGTGTGTTTGGAGCGCGCCGCTGTACGGGTGCGAAATGTGGACGGTGGACGCGGAGGAAAAGAAAAGATTAGAAACGTTCGAAATGTGATGTTACCGGCGAATGATGATGATACCGTGGATAGAGAAGGTTAGAAATGAAGAGATATTAGAAAGAATAGGATAACGGAGGACTATGGAAGTCAATAAAAAATAGGCGAGATAGATTCGTAGTACAGCTTCTCAAGCATGAATGGGTCTAGTCAGAGACATACTAGAGGCAGAAACAGGAGTTAGGAGGGGTAGAGGTAGACCTAGATTAGATTACTGTTCGCAAATAGTTAAGGATGTGGGATGTACCAGTTTCAGGGAAATGCGAAGATTAGTTCATGACAGGAAGCAGTGGAGAACTGACGACCTTATGATGACGATGACAATAAAATTCATACTTAGCAAGTTTAAGTGGGTAGGTACTCTCTCGATCGTTAAGAAGTCACGCTTTTACCGGTTTCTCATTATTAATTAAATTCATCTCCAAAATTTTCGCTAGACTTAATGGAGAAATTTAATATTGAAATTTAAAGTAATACGTACCGTGGTTTTATCCCTGCTGATTATTTCTAAAGGAGCTTGAATACTAGGCTTTCCCAAGTACCAATCTTCTCTTGAATTGTAATCCCCTAGAAATCGAACCAGCCTTGGAACATTGACGTAATTGTCATCGTCGAAATGGCAAAACCACCTGAAAAAAAATACTTATTTTTATAAACAATAAGTCAATTCGTCACATATTTTTGATTTTATTTATTGACGAAGGAGTATTGGAGTATTACTACAAACAAAAACACTGAAATGTACAGGATGGGGCAAATTAAAGGACGTTTTTGAAATAAGAATAACTCAGCCGCTTTTTATCTTACAAAGGTATTTGTTACCAAAAACAAAGGCTTAGGATTAGATGTGAGGAATAGTGGAAATCATAAAAAATCTTGTTCAGCAAGTGAATGAAGAATTTTTACAGAGAATACAAATGATTAACATTACTTTACATTAATTTCTGTACTATCGTGATTTTGTAAAAATGTAATCTGTAAGGTCTTGGAGTGTTAGAACCCGATTTCATGTTGAAAATTAAGGACTCAGGATTCTTGTAGTCCTTTTAAAATACGGCAAATTACTTCCAAAAGTAATCAGAATATTAAACAAATGAAAAGGCACACATTGACTAAACGTTTTGAAACCTTGTGCTTTCTAAAATAAATGAAACGATCAAGTATATTAATGATGTATCTCTCCTAAGGCAAAGTTTTATTTGTCAACTGCATTACGTATGCCATCCAGTTGGTTTGCGACTACCTAATAACGATAAGTGCCGTTCGTAATTTCATTAAATTAATGTTCCCACTCTTCATCCAAATCAAATCATTCGTAACGTATTATTGACAAACTTAATGGTATTGTTATCAACTGACGATTATAATGTACAGGCAAGAGATATCAAGTTACCGAATGCCAGGACGTGTAGTGCTAACGATAAGTACCGTTATGCTCTCTCATCGATCCAACCACGAATTATTTGCATCCAATTTTATATTCAAGTGACGCATTCGCTCTGTTATGATAATTGAATTTGTCGTCGTCGACGTTCATGAACAACCTAATACGGCAGAACGCGATCGCTTTCTGTTATGGTATTCGATTTGTATCGAACGAACAGATGAACAGCGACTCTCTATAATCTACGTAACATTAAACGAATAGCAGGCCTAAAAAGTCTAACTCCAAGTGGCTTTCAGTATCTAACTTGGTAAAATTATAATGAGTTTCAGCGGAATCGTCCGAATTTTTGATATGTTATAACTAGGAATGTGCAAATTTAAATACAAAATGCAAGTACTTTTTTGATTCCTTATTTCAAACGTAAAATACAAACTAGATTTCCCGTTTGATTTTGAAATGCTAAATGCAAAATACTTATTTTCAGAATACTTTTTTGTAGTAGGTACCTATTTAATTTTCTACATTTATTTAAGTAGGTATAATTTTTTTTTAAGAAAACCTTGCAGACTTTTGTTCATTTTTTAAATACTGGAGTATCTTTTTAGACCAATAGTAGTCTTTGCACTATATCATCAGCTATGAAGATCGAGTATGATTCATATTTTTCTATTTGAAGTGATTGAGATATAGTTTTTCTATCTTTATATTACAGTTTCTTCAGTTCAGCAACAAATAATTCTTCTATATGCTTCCTTATTTGCCTTGGCCACCACTTTTAATAAGTGAAGTTTTTCTGTTTTCTAAGAATTTTGGATTATATCCATTTAAATCATCCATTTCCAAAGAGTTCAGAATTTTTTGGGTTCTCTTCAGTTAAAGAATTAGAAGGCATTAATGAAATGTCTTTTTGTCCTCTTTTTAAGGTTCTAATACCTTCAATGGCCAATGTGAGCAACTTTCATTCATCTTATATTACATTTGATCGATAATAATAGCAAAACTTTTAATGGCAAAAATGTATTTTACATTTTACAAATAAAAATACGTTTGTAGAATTTCAAATAAAATACAAAACGCTTTTCTCAAAAAAGTATTTAAATGCAAGATAAAAATANTTAAGGAAATACTTTAATTGCGCCTTAAAAATACTTAAAATAGGTGAGATGTTTATTTGAGTAAGTATAGTATAGTTCGCTTTAACGCGCCGAACATGACCGAGCAGAGCGCGAAAACCCCCGAACGCAGTTTCGGTTTCGGTCGTAGTTTTGGCAGGTTTGCCGGCGAAACCGAAACAAAACCGAAACTCGTTTTTTTGCCGAAATTCGACCGAAACCGAAACCGAACTTTCGGTCGTACACTAGAATTCATTCATGAAATGTCTCTTTGTCCTCTTTCTAAGCTGCTAATACCTTTAATGGCCAATGTGAGCAACTTTCATTCGTCATTTTATATGTTTGATCGGTGATACTAGTAAAACAGTTAACGGCAAAAATGTATTATGCATTTTACAAATAGAACATACCTTTGGAAAAGTATTTTAAATAAAATACAAAATGCTTTTATCAAAAAAGTATTTAAATGCAAGATAAAAATACGTATTTTTTATTTTCTATTTGCATTTTAAATTCAAGTATTTCAAGTAATTTACATCTCTGGTTGTAACCCTTATCAAGTCGATCAAAAGGCCCAATGAACACGACCCGTATACTTCAGGAGCTTTATTACGAGTCAAGTAAAGCTTATAGGGGTAATCGTAAAACAAAACTTAATTCGACTTGCTACAACTTATTGTTTACTGCGTACTTATCTACATATGATTTTAAGCAATCAATGTAATCAAATCGATTATTAGCCTGCATCCATCGAGTCTGATGGTATGTGGAAGTAATTCGGTAGGATTTTACTCATCATTGTGGTTCAAATATTGAATTCATTAACACACATGTGCAGCTCCTTCAATATTAAAATGTCATCGCCAGTCTTTAACCGTTTACCCATAAATACTTCATTTGGCTCATGATAAGTAAGCTCTGGTGTTACGAAACCTTCTAGCTGCAAATACACGCAATATAGTGTCCTTTTTATCGGGATGATGAGGACTACAACATATCAAAAATTCAGACGATTCCGCTTAAACCTATTTTTCATTCGATCAGTAAGGAATCCATTTAATAACATACTCCGAGTTACATTATAATGGAAATCTCCACGGTAGTGCGTAATGATTCAGAAAACCCGCAGAAAAACTTGAACATACTAGGACTCTCTGCAATGAAAATAAAACCATTCCTAATCATTGTTCCTCTAAAGTAAATACAACGTTCATTAACATTTCACATTGAAATCACTTTATTTACCATCTGATGATTTAAAACTTCAACTAAATTAGGTGACCACTGTTGGAACAAGTCAGAATTTCCTCTTCGTTTCATATTTAATACACAAAATAAATAATGATGGATTTAATGAAACAAAACATTTTGATTATACTCAAATACTTTCATTTAACATGAGTTACAAAGTGTGTATGTTTGATTTTGAAAAATCAGTAATTTGATATTCTCAATAGACTCAAACAGATTGCTTCCATGAAAAATTTTCTGACCGTTAAAAGGAAATTGAATACTGCAGTAAGATCGTGATCTTACAATTAGACATAGATTCAATGATATGGATCTCCTAATCTATAAGTAGATAAACGTTCAATTTTCGACCTACAACATACGATATGTATAGTTGTTAGGTATATAATCACAAACAGTTGAATTGACCACCTGGCAACTGCAGGCAGAGTATTAAAATTTAACACGACATCTTCCTCCGGTATAGATCAAGAGATTACATTCTTCATATTTTTCATGTCAAAAGCCTGGTCGGTCGCCTGATCTATTTGAGTGGTATAATAAATACATGAATGCTCCCGCATCCTTTGTCCTCGAATGTGCTTGTTGGGTACCAAAATGTAATATGTACTCACTTACACACATTCGTATTCCTGAGCTCCTGTATTAGGTATATGTGCCTGCGTGTGGTGTTTATTTCGGGCAGTGGTAGACGTACCACATCCGGATGAAATTTAGATTTCTTTAATTCGGTGATTTAATGCTGGCGTGTGTAGAGGGTGGATCTAAGGAAGAATAATGGACGAATGGGACGAAGTGAATTTGTATTTCTGTACGCGGAAGACCATGGTGGCTCAAATATCGCTTAAAGAATTTGTAGGGGAGACCACTTACAACTAGACTTTGTTGCAAGATTTGATACAAATACTTTGTTAAAAGGTATATGAAAGAAAGACGACGTTAATATATAAGTAGACCATGAGCATGTAACATGAATGAGTATAATATGTTCTAAAAATATAAAGTACAATGAAATAAATGCAAGGGTTAATGAAATGGTAGTATTAACTGTAATCTTAGTGAAATATTAAATATAATAATTATGAAATATCCGCCATTAACTGCATGAATTACAGTCCATTTCAATTTGTTAGAATTGTGACCTTGAAGAAATTTGCGCGAAGATAGAAAGAATACACACTAGGCGTGAGCAAGACAGAAATAGTTAGAACGAGCTTGAACGAGCAGAGCTCTAGATGAGCGGTCTTAGGAGATCGGCTAGAACTGTACAGTACTAGACGAAAATGTTTAGCAATTTCTTAAAACAAAAATGTATATAAATTAACAATAGAAAACAAAGCAAAAGTTTTATAGGTGTGTAGAACGTTAAGTTAATTCACTTGTTATTATTTTTGGCTAAATATGCTTTTAAATAAAG